TTTTTCTTTGGGCAATCAAACAAAAAATGACAAAGTTATAGCGCGTCAAAGTTTGGGAGTAAGTGAAAATTGTACCAAAACGTGACGTCATGCGACTTTTCAAATCAATATATCTCTGCAATGTTTATATTATGTGAGAAAAGAAAAAATACGTGTCCAATACTTTTCCATAATGTACCTGATAAACAGAAAAAAAATTGTCAGCATCCCCTATTATATAGATTTTCTTTAAATTATCTAAGTTTGCCTGTTACCAAGACATGTTTACTTTTCCGTAGTTCACAAAATACATATTAAAATAAAACATATTAAAATTAAAATAAATCATTAAGTATATATATCTTTTTCCATCATTATTTTCTCTACACATTTTTTCTGGGTTAGTGTAAAAACAACGAGAAATGTTTCCGAAATATGCGGTTGGTCAAACAGGAAGATTTACTCACACGTTGTCTCGAGTAACATATAAATATGACTACGATGAATGACATTTAATATTGTGATGACTTTTGAATTTAATTTTATTGTAATTGTTATTTTTTTTTATGTAGTATAATAATGAATATCTGATGGATAAGGACTTAAATAAATCATAAGAAGTTTAATTAAGATTACTGACAATTATTAATATGATGACATTTTATTTTGAATTGTAATTTAATTTTAATTGTTTTTTTCATGTAGTATAATTTAAAGTACCGTTATTAATTCTATATTTGTGTGCCTGATGGCTGGTCGTAGTTGGACTGTATATTTGAGCATAATAACCATGTATTACCTATGTACCACAAATAAATAAATAAATGAAATAATGTGTCTACTCTGACCTTATCTGAGGCCCAAACACGAACTTTAACAGGACCGTAATCTTATAGTCATCGTCAATTTTTGTATGGAAGGAGTCAGTTTATTCTTACGTCCGATAGAGGCGCTGCTCAGTTTTCTTAGACACTTTGACGATGCGATACGATTATGGACCCTCCGATTCCGTCGGCCTAGGCACGTCTTAGAGTACCCCGACGACGAAATCACTCGCGCCAACGCGCCTCCGACTCCTCCCACAAAGACTACAAACACCAACACTACACAGCTAGCATACTTGCACACTAGTTTAACATTAGGCAGACACCGCACCCGTAGGATAAGAGTGCGAAGACCCGGTCTACACATGACACGCTATACCTGGGCGTTTTTCCCCGCCCCCCACGACAACGGCTAACTAGAGACGAGGTCCGAGTCTCAGAGATACCCTGTAGTTGAGCCGACCCCCTCAGGTTCGATTGGTCTAGAGACTTTAGATGGAGAGGAGACTCCCCCCACGGAGAGATGCCATCCGCCTGGAATACCTCTAGAGGCACTCGCCAATTCCCGGCTTGAGGTCCCCTTATGGTAGCGTGTATGTTATAAAACTGCACAGTTTCCTATACGTACGCCACGTACGATAAACTGTTCCGTTCGAACTGTACAGTCTGATCGTAACGATTTCTCGTAGTGTGTATGGCTACCATTACGATCTCGCCGTCCCCAAACCCAGTGACGCTGTAAATGTCATTTGCGATCAACAGCATACACACTAAAAAAATCGATTAAGGAGCTGTCAAATGCCATGCTTGGGCCTCTGGTACGCTCTCTCTCCTACGACCGCTTGTGAATAGTATTATAGCCTTGCGGCGCTCCTCGCTACGCTCGTAACCACACCCCGATAGCCATCTCTGGCAGCCGTCCAGCAAGCCGCCAGTAACGTACTCAGGATATTATTCTGATAAAAGTTTCCGCTGTGTGTTTGGTACCAAAATAATTTTCTCCGATATATTGAGTACTTGTACAGTAACTTTAATAACTCAATGTATTTGAAGTTTAATAACTCTAAGAATATTTGTGCGTGCATTCAGCCGATGTAAAATGTTTTCTTTGTGTGTTACTCTTGAGTGGGTTTTTTTCACAAAACATGATATGATTTTATTTATTTTTTAAGCATTTAACTGCTAGATGTTTAAATCTAAAGAAAAGTTTACTAGAAAAAACCTACCTACCTACCTACCTAGGGTTACCTACAATGCGAAGAGATGGCGCTGCCTTGCAGCTTAAGGCTAGGAAAATTTCGACGCGGCTAATAGGGCCGGGGTAGCATAATGGTCAGTGCATTCACCCGGATTGCGAAGGATGCGGGTTCGAGTCCCGTCCGCTACCTGGTCCGCGTGGATTTTTTTCTAGTAAACTTTTCTTTAAAACATGATATTTTAAGATACTTTTAATACTATTAATACGTATTATGGTAGATAATAATACTTATCTAACTGTCTATCATTATCTTTTTATTATGTATTTAAAATTTTAACTCCTCCATATTAATATCTTATGAAAATTTTGCAACAAACAATTTGTTAATATTCAAATTGTTATTTAAATGATTGTATTGAACTTTCATGTGATGAAAAAATAGTGAATAGCGACTTTTTGGTATTGTCGGCTATTACTAGAGAAAGTCTACTTGTTAGTCTAGTTAAAAGTCTTCCGATGTGTATTTCAGGGGGCCATTCGCCTAACGGAAATGCTATGGAAAACGCTAACGCTTTCGATTTCATTTTGTTATTTCTGACCGCCGAAGGTTTTCAAATACCTCACGCTCATTTCTTTAATATTGTTATTACCAATGCAAAAGAAAAAAAAGAGCGCGAGACATTTGAAAACCTCAGGCGGCTAGAAATAACGAAATGAAATCGTAAGCGTTAGTGTTTTCCAAAGCATTTCCGTTAGGCGAATGACCCTCAGGCTTGTCTAAACAAGACTTTAAGCATTTTTAAAATACAAATCTTTTAACTAAGATTTTAATATCTTTTAAAACTTATAGGTACAATATTGCAAATAAGTGTTCCTATCCAAAACTGAAAGAAAATATTGGAATTCATCAAATAAATTCAAGATCCAAGCAAAATCTACTGTATCCAATAAATTATATTATCTTGGTAAGGACGTGTGAGGAAATTCAATAATATAGAAAAATAATTAGTGGATTAAAACGTATTATGTACTTTAAAATTATCTAAACAAGAAACAGCTATTAGGGAATTCTATTATTTTTGTCTTTATTTATTTGTGAGCTTTTATTCTTACAAGAATATACCACTACTAGCAAACCAGTGAACCAAATGTTCACCAAAACCTGATTTAAAAAAAAAAAAAAATTGAGAACTTCGGAGATTTTGTGTGGTTTCGTTTGAAATTCGTGATTTCTCGAAAACCGGAAGTGCTACGTTACTCAAATCCGGTTTGTAGTCTTATCAGACTATTCTTAACTTATAACTTAAATATTCTCTTTATCTATCTCATACGGTTTGGCCGCTGAAACTGCACCACAGAAAGACAGACGGACGGACTTGTCTAATAGATAAGAGATTATCTGCATTGGATGCCGCATTGCTAAAATTACTTTGCAGGGAAAATGCAGTGGTGCTTCTTTATTTGTCGCACCTTTTACAGTTCGAGTTGTTAAAATATGATAAAAGGCGTAGATACAAAACTACTTTGTAGATTGTGTAAATTCTATAATCTGATAATATTGAGCTAAAAACCGCCTGCTGTTTAGCGATATCACTGTTTCAATATCACTATAAAATTATATTAAACACTTTAAAACATTGCTAAATTGATACAGAGAAATTATAACTTTAACTGGATATCTGTTTCTTGGGTTTTCACGCACATCACTCATTAAATAAAACTAGTTTTTAACGGATTAATGCACGAAACTTTATTTATTTATTGATGTTTCGCAGCCTTTTCAGGTCTGCATCGTCAGAATACTGCGAAAAGTCAATAAATAAATAAAGTTTCGTGCATTAACCCGTTAAAAACTAGTTTTATTTAACTGGATATTTTTATTGATACTTTATTCATCGAACTTAGATGACATTAAATAAAATGAGCCTCATAAAAAGTAGGTGTATCTGTGTGGAAAATTTATGTTACATATTACAGATAAATCAAAATGTCTTGAAAATGATAAATGTGGAGCTCGATGGCGCAGGTGGATAGCGCGTTCGGCTGCGATCGTTGAAGTTAAGCAACTATCGCAGTGGCCAGTCATTGGATGGGTGACCAAAAATCTTGTATCTCGAGTTACTCCGTGCTTCGGAAGGCACGTTTACTCGTTGGTCCCGGCTGCATCTGCAGTCGTTAGCACCCAACAAACCGCACTGAGAACGCGTGGTGGATCATGGCCCAATCTCTCTATTCCATCCATAGGGAAGGCCTTAGCCCCAGCAGTGGGGACATGGATAGGCTGATGATGATGATGATGTAAATGTCTTAGTGTTAATCTTTATATATAATTCTTCTGTGAGTGTGTATGTCACTGAACTTCTCTTAAACAACTGGACCGATTTTGATGAAATTTTTTGTGTGTGTTCAAGGGGATCTGAGAATGGTTTAGATTCACAATTTTGTCCGCTGGACAATGTTTTTTAATTAATTTTTAATTTATTAGTAGTTGTTGATTTTGGAATGTTTTACATTGGATCCGACAGACGGCGCTACCATCGCAGTGTCAAATCTTTATATATATAATTCTTCTGTGAGTGTGTATGTCACTGAACTGCTCTTAAACGACTGGACCGATTTTGATGAAATTTTTTGTGTGTGTTCAAGGGGATCTGAGAATGGTAATTTTCATCAAAATGGTCCAGAATGTTTTAGCTTATTAAAAAAAGTTTGAAATTTTCAAATTAAAGACGTGTATACAGGACAACGTCTGTCGGGTCCGCTAGTGATATTATATAAACAAAAGCGCTAACCTTCATTTACTTAATGATTTGATTTGCTTAATAATAATAATCCTTTATTAAAAGAAAAATATTACACGTCTTAAAAAACCTTAAACTGAGATGTTCATGTTTTGCAGTGTCATGCAACATACAGATAAAAGAATCATCATCATCATCATCATCATCATCATCATCAGCCTATTAATGTCCCCACTGCTGGGGCACAGGCCTTCCCTATGGATGGAATAGGGAGATTGGGCCATGACCCACCACGCGGGCCCAGTGCGGATTGGCGGGTGCTAACGACTGCAGATGCAGCCGGGAACAACGGCTTAACGTGCCTTCCGAAGCACGGAGGAACTCGAGATCGATGTTTTTGGTCACCCATCCAATGACCGACCACTGCGAAAGTTGCTTAACTTCAACGATCGCAGCCGAACGCGCTAACCACCTACGCCATCGAGCTCCTCCTCGATAAAAGAATAATCACACTAATATTATAAAGGCGAAAGTTTGTGATTGTGTGAGTGTGCATGATTGTTACTTCTTCACGTCTAAACGGCTGGAGCGATTTTTATAAAATTTGGTATGGAGTTAGCTGACACCCTGGATTAACACATAGGCTACGTTTTACTGCGGGTAAATATCCCTAATAAACCGCGAGTAATACCGCGGGTTACAGCTAGTAGCTAATCACATAAAGATTAATATTTAATCATTCGACTTACCTAGATAAGTAGCAGCAGGAAATTCCTTCTATATTACATTACATTTATCTAATTTTAAGACACAAATTTATTCTATTTGAGACGGATTTGAGACTAATATAAGGTACTAATTATATTGGATTAACGCGCTTTTAAAAACTTTTACTACAACAATATTTTTCGCTTTATCTCTATCATTTAATAAATAAATTAGCTCGGCAAGATTCACGTTGAAATCTTCTCGTAATATCATTTTCATATTTTATCATCCAGTCTTTTTGTTTTATTTACAACATTTCTATTTTCGATATGTTTCTTTTCAAACCCCCTGGCCGCATCGTCCGGTGCCAAAGTCTACTAATCCGAAAGTGTAATGAAAAAAACTTTATCTCCAAACCTCATACTAGTTTTTCTTCAGTAAATTTGACAGGGTTCTTCAATACTACAACTGAATTGTCGGCGTTAACAATCGAATTTACTTTGGCTGGACTCTCGTTATTGTTAAAGTTATCTTTTTTATCATTTTTGGCCTCAGTACCTTTAACATCATCTTTGATCTCATTATTATTTACACTCTTAGATTCTATAGGGAGATTTAAATCAGATTTTTTGGTTGCTACTGTCACATTTGGCTTGCGATTCTCAGTAGTGTTAGACTCTCTGTCTCTCTGAGACATTTGCGGATAGTGGTGCAGTATAGCCGTCGTGTTAAAGGTTATCTTGCCATACTTAACGAATTCTGTCGCTCTCTTAGGATTATCTTTGCTAGTGCTAGGCCCCGCTTCTACATCTAAACTGTTATGTATATTCTTCTTAGTATTACTAGAATTTTCAACGGAAATTCCATCGTAAATATCTTTAGTATCTTCCAAAAGGTCCAACGCGACCCGCTTACTCTTTCTAATATTTTCCATATAAGTATTATAAAGGTTCATATCTACAGTATTACTCTGCTTAAGTGGCAATGAATTTGGCAATATCTTCTGAGGTTTCTCTTCGGCTGTGTATCACAACTGTTTACTGGGTTGGGGGTTTTTCTGCGTCGTGTCTGTCTTGGCCGCGCTGTTATCGCGCGCGGCGCCCGTTAGCTATGTCTGGGACTGCACCATCGATATGCTTGTCGTCTCAGTGACGATAGTAGGCACTGGAAAATCCTCCGCGGTCGAATCATATATAGGGAATTCGCAACATAACACGAACTTTAAGAACCTAGGCACTTCCACGTAAATAGCCGGAGGGATCGGTATCAACGGTGACGTGGACGCCTTATAATAAAGATAATCTGGGTTATCTCTATATTTTTCGTCCGCCGAGCGTTCCAGCAATGGTATTCCAGATAAGAACAAAATGATAGCAGTCGTGAACAAAGGCGATAGTATCGCTATCCATTCGATGCCTTCGATCACGTTCAGTGATATGATGAATAAGCCCCACCATAGTACGACTTCGCCAAAGTAGTTGGGATGTCTGGACAATCCCCATAGGCCGTCGTTGCACCATTTACCTTGGTTTGCTGGTTCCTGTCTGAAGGCGAATTTTTGGAGGTCTGCGTAGGTCTCTATTAGCAATCCGATGACGAACACTCCAGCTCCTGCAGAATCCAAAGTCGTCATGGTCTTTGGTGACTTGGGAAACGAGTGATGAGGTGAATTGATGATAATTACAGGAAGACTTACGATATACACCCAAATCGCTTGAAACGTGTAGAAAACGGCGAATCTCAGGGTGTTGCTCTTTCTGTCCTCGAACTGTTTGTCTCTGCCGATGTGGTAGATCCTATAGATTAGGTATCCAGACAGTCTTAGACCCCAAACACAGACGAAAGCTGTGACCATGAGTTGTCTACTATCGTAACTTTTTAAATGGCTACCTCCTTGGCCTAGGAAGAACGTTAGAAGAGCAATAATAATGAAATTAGCACCTCCAGTGAAATCAGTCACCTTGTCGTTTTGAAACAGCGATGCAATGGTGAAGAAGAGGATCTGCATCGCCACAGTCACCATCGCGCTAATGGCGAAGTTGTTCCTATCTATTAACGGTTCCATTCTCGTATTTTTTTGTTTGTTTATTTGACACTAAATTTTTAAGAATTTGGCATTAGGGAATACTGCTGGCATCGATTCTTTGCCGCATTGCTGCATTATTGAACACTGTTTTTGTTTTTTGTTTTTTTTACTATCGTCACTTGTTTTCGTTTGAGTAACCGCGGCTGTTTACGCGTGGCATTGGGGCTGTTTGTCTTTTGTTTTTTTTTATTTGTTACGTTTTATTTTGATTGTAAATGTGCTATTTGCAGTTAGCGAGCAGCGTTTGGTGCGGCCCCATGAGCTTTACTGAAATAAACTTGACGTTTGCACGACGCATGCGTGATTCTTTCGTCCGCGCATGCGTGGTGCGTGCTAGCTGCCTCGTAAATTGAACTCTCCGCCTGATAGTTGCATACACTTGTATTCTATTCATACGCTACTATATTCGTGTGTATAGTAGTGAACCGAAAAAAGATTTGAGTTGCTTATAACAATTTTTTTGTTAGCTATTACAAAAAAATAGTGACTACATAACTATTGTCACTAATAGCCATACTCGGTTTTATATAAATTGTTAAGCTAGCTATAGCTCAACATAAAATGTAACTTTTAAACTATTTTTTGTATTACTAGTCACTAAAGTGCGTATTGTTATTACAAAAACAGTTGTGTAATATTTATAAATGGTTCATTATTCATTATAAAATCGTATCATTGGTTATAAAATCATTTCTTCATTATAGCATCACTATACTGTTAATTGAACCTTAATAATGTTGTTATTTGCAACATTACTTTCTGAAATTTTCATCACTTTTCAGTTATTCATAGCGATATTGTGTTTGCTAATAAGTAACACATGCAAATATTGCAGTTAGGCCAACTCTATGTAAATAACCACCTCAAGTGTGTTTGATTATAGCAATTCATTGATATGTTACAGGGTACCGAAATTGAATCTGACAGCAGATAACACATGATTCAGTATGGTTTTTCCTTTAGATTTAAACATCTAGCAGTTACATGCTTAAAAAATAACAAATATTATGATAATTCTATTTTTTGTAATATGTATTTTTATTTATATATCTAGCAGTTAAATGCTTAAAATAAAAATATGACAGATATCTATATACATATATATATAATAACAGAACCGTTTAACAGAAGAGGATTTATTTTACATCGAACGACATATTAAGATAGTGGGGTCAGTCGTATAATCTCTTATCTATTAGACAAGTCCGTCCGTCCGTCTGTGGTGCTGTTTCAGCGGCCAAACCGTAAGAGATAGATAAAGAGAATATTTAAGTTATAAGTTAAGAATAGTCTGATAAGACTACAAACCGGATTTGAGTAACGTAGCACTTTCGGTTTTCGAGAAATCACGAATTTCAAACGAAACCACACAAAATCTCCGAAGTTCTCAATTAATTAAATACATTTTTTTTTTAAATCAGGTTTTGGTGAACATTTGGTTCACTGGTTTGCTAGTTATAATTAATATGTAATTATGTGATGCATGTGCGTCGTTCATTGCAGACTTTTGTTTTGAATGTCTTACAGATACAAAGGTCTGGGTTTTACCCAAGTTTTACCGATAAAAAGGTAACGCGTGGTACTTTTTCTAATATAATTTACTCAACATTAGGAAATGAAGTAGTTAAGTGCTTAAACACAAATTTACAATCAATTAAGTTAATTATATGTTTTATTTTAACCATTTAACTTAATAATTGTGGGTTTACCTATAATGCGAAGAGATGGCGCTGCCTTGCAGCTTAAGAATAGCTAGAGGGAATTTCGACGCGGTCCGTGAGGGCCGCGGTAGCATAATTGGTCAGTGCATTCGCCCGGATTGCGAAGGGTGCGGGTTCGAGTCCCGTCTGCTGCCTGGTCCGCGTGGAATTTTTTCTAGTTATATTTTCTTTACATTTAACTTAATTTAGAAATATATCTCAATCTACAGATAATTTTAGTACGAAAAATTCCATGCAGTCCAGGTATTAAACAGGCATTTTCCATTCCTCCTGTCTGATGCCTGGACCACGTGTATTTTTTTCTAGCACAATTTTCGTATATTTACGGTAACTAACTAATGTGTAATGATTACTACAATCTGTTTTAGATACCCAAGGGACCGTAAGGGCGTCAGTTAATTTAAATATCTAGATTGGACTGTGATATATACTAATATAAGAGAAGAGGAGATTGACACCCGTATCCAAGGAACACTCAAGTGCACAGCAGCAGAAAATGCTTTACGCATCCTTCATTCACCGGGCGCTAGAAGAAGGTATGTGGGACTCCTCCCTATCTATTTATTATCTCGCTATATTCAGCTCTGTGGCCATATGAAATGGGCAGGGTCCTACCGCCCTAAACAAGGCCACTAAAAACCAGACAATACTCTTGCACCTGTCACCCGACACGCATTCGGAGGACCTCAGTCCCCCAAATGCGTGTCGGGAGTGCGGATGTGGTCGTGGCACCCGATTTCCGACTGGCCATGCATTTGCCGATGATTCAGGTGCACAGCTGCTTTTCACAAGGTCTAAGTGTCCAAGCTAATTACCTAGAAAACCAAGATTCAGATCTACAACACAGTGATTAGACCGATATTTATGTATGTTTGTGAGACTTAGACGCTGACTGAAAGAAAAGAATAAGCTGGTAGACGCCGAAATAAATATTCTGCTGAAGATCCCGGAGCCAGCTCAAAAAGAGGAAGACAGCTGGAGAGTACGGACAAACATTGAGCTGGAAAACCTAGTGTCCGCGCCATTCATGTACTTACTGACTTCATAAATGTTGTTATACGTATATATTATAAACATTAATTTCCATTGACTATAATATATCAAATTAAACTAATTTTGATTTTAAATTCTGAAATTTTTATTTTAGATCCACTTCGGTTCATTGCGCCGTAGCAGTAAGTAAGATACTAATATATAAGCAGTGAGTAAGATGGTCACTAACATTATAGTTATTAACGGGATTGTTACCATAACGAACGATTTTGACTTATTCTCGACAAGCCCAGCGACAGTCAGACGAACTATAGTATCGAATTATTTTAAATAGGCATTAATTAAATAAGTGGGTATGCTCAATATTCAAACTGGCGTCTGTTTCCTTTTTTTTTTAAGATAGTTTTTTTTTTAATACAATTACTCCATAGGCGTATGCCCATGCCATTATTTAGTTTGACTTTTTTTTTTAAGTTTTGTTATATACATTTGTTTGTGCACTCAGTGCGGCCTTTTATATTTTATCATGCAAACATGCGGCATGCTCACTTATGTCTACTTAACTAATATAATTTGGACATATGCTATCTTAAAAACACAAAGCATGTACAATAGATAATAAGTGAAAAAAAAAAAAAGAAAATAAAAAAAAAAGCGTATACATATAATAGAATATTCAATGAATCCCTTTCAATTCCCTTTTCAATGAATATTCTATTATATGTATACGCTTTTTTTTTATTTATTTTTTTTTTTTTTTCACTTATTATCTATTGTACATGCTTTGTGTTTTTAAGATAGTATAAATTATTAACTGTAATAAATATATTATGATATAAAGCATATTATAAGCATGTAAGTATATTATATTGGGATAAAAGATTATGAGATAGTTATAGTTATATAAGCATGTTTAATATGTGGAGGTTTTTAATTGGCTTTTAGATATTGTTTTTTGTTTATTTAATAAATGATTGATAGCAAATGATGATTGTAAACCTTCCTAAAATAAAATAAAAAAATTGTTTTTTATGAGTCTCCGATATTTCGGCACTGTTGCAAGCGCCATGATCACGGCTACGTGGTAACAATCCCGTTAAAAGCTATTACTAACCCTAACTAGCGCCCTGGAGTAGACATGAAACCTTGCCTAGACCTTACGAAAAATAGTATCGTTAACGAGCGCCCTAAGGCTAACCCAACATCAGGCTAAAAATGCTACGTAAAGCTATGCCAAGCTATATTAAGTGAACTCGCTCCTCCAAGATTAATAATGAGGATATAAACAATACATGCTGGACTGCGGTCTGTGTGACTATGTACTGACTTCAGTGGTTTCTGCAATTATTCCTACACAAGGTAAATTACCGGCTAAATTAATACAGTTATAATATATTTTTATATATTACTAGCTGACCCAGCGAACTTCGTACCGCCCTAAAAAATTGGGATTGTTTCATGGCGCAAGCATCTCTAGGAACGCAGGAGGAAACTTCCGAAACTTTTTTTTATCACAATACAAATGCTTTTGAATCAATATTTGGTAGTATCCTTCTTCATTTCCGCTTTTATAGATAGGGTCGATTGGTTCTCTTTTTTCATAATATAACAACAGCAGCTCGTCATCCTCATCTTCTTCTTCAAGAATGTTAATTAGCACTTTGACCATGATTTTGACTTCGGTAGACAAACGTCTAGAGGGATCTGTCGAACAACACCGACTAACTTTGAGACACGGCCGCGCGCGGCTCACGACAGTCGTCGGCCGCGCGCATCTGTCGCCGGCCTCGGAAGCGGTGCCATGCATTTTCATACTATGACTATTGTCGCGAGCGACCGACGACAGTCGTAGGCCGCGCGCAGCCGCGATCGATCGCGATGCACGGAATAGTACCCTAACCGCTTACCTCAAGGAACGTTTCCAATTGGTGTGGACCACGATCGCGTTTTGCGCTCAAAACACGATAATGTGTTAGAGATACCTCTCACCCGCTCTGAGTATTATATGGACTCCTTTACGATTAAAGGTGCACAGCTTTGGCACAAGCTTCCGCCTGAAATCCGTCACGCTAAATCAATGCACACTTTTAAAAATATACTACATGATTTTCTGTTACTTAAATCCTAGTCTGCTGTATCTATAAATATATAATATTGCATAATATGTTTATTTGTGTAGGTATATACAGTATGTATATTTGTGTAGGTATATGTTATTTATTTGTATATAATCTTTATATGTTTAAGAAAATATGTACATTTCTCTATTTTATCTTGCTGGCATACTGCAACTTCCTCTTCGTTTAGTTATTCTTTACCGCAAAGGTTGTCTGGAAGAGATCGCTTAAAGCGATAAGGCCGCCTTTGCCCACATTATGTTATTGTTTCCTTATTTTTGTATTCTTTTGTGTGTGTGCAATAAAGAATTTATCTATCTATCTATCACCCGCGTCGTCTCTTCGCACCACCGTTTGCAAAATTAATCTAAAACAACTTAATCTATATGCAGATGGATGGAATAAAATAATGTATGACTGTCTATTGTTTTGCGAGAAAAATGAATGTGAATCCTCATGTTTGTAATTCTTTGTTTTTTTTCACTAATAGCTGTAAATAGTTATGCCGTGGTAATTAGAAATAAATCCAGCAAAAAACGGCAAAAATTAGGTTATTATTTATTTTGAAACAGAATAAACAACTAAACAATATATTTATCCTGTTATTGAAGCTAAAAATAGTTCGTTTCCGAGCTAGGCATCATAACAAACCGCAAAAGGAAAAGTCATATTTCTTTGTTATTACAAAGTACCTACCTACATTGTCAAACGGTGTCAACATGAAAATATCCTTCTTATGGCGCAATTACATTTGATCGCTAACCCGTATTCCCGTGCACGAAATACACATATTACTCGAATTGATATATAAACATATTGTTTCAAACTTTCATGATCACTAACATTATATAGTATTACAAATTATTTACGGGATTGTTACAATGTACCTTGTTTTTAGCGAGTTTCCGATATTTCGGCACTGTTGCAAGCGCCATGATCACGGAGTAACTGTTACTCGTTAAAAACAAGGTACATGGTAACAATCCCGTAAATAACATATCTCTTATCTATTAGACAAGTCCGTCTGTCTATGGTGCTGTTTCAGCGGCCAAACCGTAAGAGATAGATAAAGAGAATATTTAAGTTATAAGTTAAGAATAGTCTGATAAGACTACAAACCGGATTTGAGTAACGTAGCACTTCCGGTTTTCGAGAAATGAGGTTTTG